GGTGCCACTGGACTGTTTTGGACCGGGGGGCCGGGGGGGAGCTCTGCAACTTACCTGGCTGCTTCTTGCTCTGACTGAGGGCTGCTGGGAGCAGGGGGTGGGGCTTGTTGCATGTTCCCGCCCCCTGGGCTCTTTACTGCCGGAGCTCGGCTCCTGTGCGCTCCCGCAGGAAATGACCCCTGCTTGAGTTAGGCCTGGCCCTCCCTCCAGGGTGCACTTTTTTAATGGTCCCCAGTGGGAGGGGCATCCCTGTGCTCCACCACTCCCTCTTCCCCAGGGCACTGGGCTTGAGGAGCAGTGGGCCCCAGAGCCAACAGTCCCCCATCTTGACTGCTCTTTGTAGCCATTGCCCGGCTGCCGGGGCCTCTTGGAGGCTGGGTGGCCATCTACTGGGCTGGGCAGCTGTGAGCCAGCCATCTGCTGCTGCACTGGCTTCAATCCTTGGGTCAGTCACAAGTTCTCTCAGAGTTGTTCTCTCAAGGGCAGTCCTCGAAAGTGCTCTCTCAGCCCCACCCGCCTCACAGAGTGTCTATCTGTTGTGGGGAGGGGAAGGGAGAGGAGTCTGTAAGCCGCTCTGAGACCCCTTCGGGTAGTGAAGGGCAGGGTATACATCCAATCTCTTCTTCTTCTTCTTCTTCTTCATCAGGATCATGGTATTTACTTGATTTATTTATTTACTGCATTTGAACCCAGCCTCTCTCCCCAACCGGGAACTAAAGTGGCTTACACTGCTCTCTCCTCCACTTTATCCTCACAACTACCCTGTAGGTAGGTTAGGCTGAGTGAGTGGGACTGGCCCGAGGTCACCCAGCCCGCTTCCACGGCATGAGCGAAAACAGGATTCGAAAACGGGTCTCCCAGACCCTAGTCCAGCACTCTTAATCACTCCACCACACTGGCCGTCTCTCTCGAGACGTAGCATTGTATCACTATAGCATTATAATGACCTCTATATTATGTTCTATAAATTCCCAGCCTTGAAAAACTTGTAAATCTCTATCCCCATTCTGTGCAGAGATAGAGGGTTATTGGTGTAACTCAGCAATGAAAAAGACTGCATTTTTTATTTCATTTTCGAAACAAAAGGAACTGCTGAACGTGGTCCACATGGAAGGCAAACATGATCTGGCTGTGAAGCAGCAGGAAATATGGGATCCAAGGGGATGAAAGGACCCAAGACCCTGGAAAGACAACTGTTGGACAATGGGAACTTCGGAAATAATCTGCTACAGCTGGTAGTCCAAACTGGAACAAAAAAACGACATAGAAGTCCCTAGTATCAAAAGCAGAAGAGTACGAGAAGTAGGAGCTGCGGTGGCTCAACCGGTTAAGACGCTGAACAGCAGGCTGTGGAAGGTCATTAGTTCAGCAGTTCGAGACCCGAGTTGCCGCATGACGGAGTGAGCTCCCGTCTCTAGTTCCAGCTCCTGCCAACCTAGTAGTTCGAAAGCAAGAAATTGCAAGTAGATAAATAGGTACCACTTTGGTGGGAAGGTAACAGCGTTCCGTGCGCCTTGGTGTTTAGTCATGCCGGCCACATGACCACGGAAACGTCTTCGGACAGCGCTGGCTCTTCGGCTTTGAAACGGAGATGAGCACCGCAACCCTAGAGTCAGACTCGACTGGCTTTCTAGCAAGGGAACCTTTGCCTTTTAAAGAGAAGATTGCATATAGGCGGGAGAAGATTATCAGG